TCATCTGATAGTCTGGAGAGGGGTGAAGCAGGCAGTATTGACAGGTCTTCTTAGCATGGCCTTGAGGCAGGGGAGCCGGAGAGGCAGTGGGGCCCCAATGGTGGAGGGGGAGGTCTGCTGCTGTGCTCTGAGTTCTGGTCTCTCGCCCCTGCAGGGTCCTGGACTCTTTTGATGCGGTGCCTGGCCACCTGACTGAAGACCTCCACCTCTACTCCCTCAACGACCTGAGCGCCACCAAGAAGGGGGAGCTTGTTCCCCGCCTGACGGAGCTCGTGAAGGCTGGGGCTCTGCATGTCGAGAGATGCATGGTAGGTTGCTCTCTGCACTGGCATGTGGGGGGGGGCAGCTCTGAGATGGACCAGAAGCAGGAAGGAACTTTCTAGCCCTTATGGGGAGAAGCCTCAGGGTTTGAATCCTGCCTTTTCCACCCAGGTGCATGGGAAATGTTCAGGGTGTTCCCCCGTTGGTCTCCACCATCACGGTGCAGCCCATAGACCCTCTCCCAGCTCTTCCTGTTTGATTTAGAACAGTGACATAAAACCTGATTTGGATGTGGAGAGGAGAGAAGCTGGGAGAGCAGGAGGGAAGGCCTGGGAGATGGATCCCAGCAGACATCAAGGCGCAACATTCACCTACATCTCCTCTCCAGGCCTGGCTGCACCACACAAGAATGCAGAAGGGAGCTGGCTACAGCACCATACCCTAACATGCCCAAACCCTGCTGCATCTCTTAGTGCAGACAGCCCCTCAGTGTGCAGTGGGGCCATGTTTCCCCCCTGGTGACTTCACCTGGAGCACAGCTTAGGATCGCAGGGCTATCTGAGATCCTGGGTACGCTCAAGATGGAGCAGGGTTTGAGCTGAGTCTTTGAGAGCATTCTAGCCAGGTCCTCCATGCTGTAATGGCTAACTAGCCAGGACCTGAATTTTCTGTGATTCTGGTGGTTTCCTTAGTGTTCTTAGTTCCCGATAAATCTTGAGTTTCAGCTGCCAGGACCATGGCCTGTTCTAACAGGGGAGGAATGGGATCTGGAGACCATTATCACACACATGGGGGAACCGCAGAAGTTACTTTTCCCACCCAAAGCTCTTTGCAGGCAGGCTGCTCTTTTGATGAAGCACAGAGTCTTTTCAGGAAGTCGAAAGAGAACAGATGCAACTAGGTGACTCTGAGTTTAGCAGCAGGGAGTGTGTAGCCTAGGGTGGGTGCATTTATGCCATAGCTGTTGGGAACCACAGCTTAGCATTTGCAGAACACTAGGGGCAACACATGTGCTGGGCAAGATGCAGTCCCTGCCGCGAGGAGCTGGCTGGTGTGGATGTGGCCTGATGGCCATGGAGTAGCTTACCCTAGATCTGGCTCTAAGGAGCAGATGCACAGCTGGCTTTCCCTAGCTGGCTGCTGGCAGGAGGTGCCATGATATGTGCCTACAGTAGAGATGTCGTGTCCCCACTCCACAAGAGCTAGTGAATGCCCAGCTCCTGTGTGCCTCCGCCCAGCCACTGCTGTGTTGTAATGGGCTGCCCATTTCCACTGCCTTGTTGTACAGCTTCTCGAGTAGTAGTGTCTCCTGTGCTGCATGAGTGACGACACCGTGTCACAGCCAGAGAGGAGGGCCAGCTCTTGGCATGGGGATGAGCAGGCACAGAGGTTGTCCCAGGGGCTGGCATCGTCCCCACACTGGAACCAGTCTTCTGGTTCCAGGCTGCCTCTGCTCCCTCTGCCTTCATTGTGGCCAGGAAACCCTGGTGTGTTCATCTGCTTCCCTAACCGCTGTGCCCTCTTGTCCTTGCAGCTGTGTCAAGCCAAAGGCTTCATCTGTGAGTTCTGCCAGAACGAGGATGACATCATCTTCCCCTTCGAGCTGAACAAGTGCAGGACATGCGAAGGTGAGAGGCCAGCCAGGACTCTGAGGACCTGAACGCCGGGGTGGGGCTGCTTGCACCCTCAGGGACTGACCAGGGGTGCACCCAGCTGGGGCTGAAGCTGCCTTGAACCACAACTGCCCTCTGTCTGCAGCAGGTTTAAGAAGTGTCCTGTCACCAAGATGGCAGGTGCTGCGGAGCTGCTGTCTCTAACTGGTTGGCACGTGGCCTTTCATTTTGGCCAGAACCCTCCAGTGGCAACTACAGACCTCTGCCAGCTCTCTGCAATGAGCATCCCAGAGAGCCAGACCCCTGTGTATGCCACCCACTGCAGAGGCACTGTAGGACAGCTGCCCTCACATGCTCACGTAAAGTCCAGCAGGGCACTAACTGCAGGGCGTGGATTTGCTGCTGCTGTGGCTGAGGGGCCGGCATGCCATGCTGCTATAATTGGCAGCCAGGGAGCTTAGGGACCAGGGTGGCTTTGTGCTGTGCAGCCAGCCTGAAAACATCTTACTAAGGCCAGCGAGGGCGGTAAGTGGGAACTTTGTCCATGTTGGTCTGTGCTGATGACCACACTGTGTCTCTCTATCTCAGCACCAGTCTCTTAGGCTGTCCAAACCAGTCTGGGCCACCAGTCAGCACAACAGTCTTAGCGTGCTTGTGTTTGTCATGGAGATACTCCCACTGCTGCCTTAGTAGTGTAGGACCTGGGATGTCACCAAAGCACAGCATGCCTGCCTGGTCCCTTGTCCTGGGGGGATGTACCCCCAGCCGCAGTGCTGGCAGTGTGTTTTGCATGCTCACATCAGGGCACAGGGAGAATCGCGCAGGAGCTGTGTAGAGAAGCCCTGAAGCTGCCTCACTAGGGTGTGGAGTGTAGGGCTAGGATTGCCCCTTGCACTGGGGTGGGGAGGCCATGCAGCAGGAGACCTGGGATGGAGGTGACAGTGGGGGAGAAAGGTAGGTGCAGTCTGTGTGGCCTGGCTTCCCTGCCCCAGCCCGTGGCTCACAGCTTGTCTTTGCCCATCTCCCCCTGCAGAGTGCAAGGCCTGCTACCACAAATCCTGCTTCAAGGTGGGGCCCTGCCCCAAGTGTGAGCGGCTCCAGGCCCGGAGGGAGCTGCTGACCAAGCAGAGCTTGGAGTCATGCACCTCGGACTGTGAGGAGGAGCCGGAGCTGGAGCCGCGGGAGGCAGCAGCCGCTACGTGAGGAGGGAGCGGAGCCGGCAGGCACACAGGGCCTCCAGCTGCAGGGACCGACTGACAGATTGGAACTGACTCACTGTGCTGCCCCGTGGGGCTGAGACACGGGGACCTCAAGCACCAGCCCCCAGTGCTGGCGGGACCAACTCTGCCTCACGGGCAGTGTTGCTCTTCTCCATGGGTCGTGGTCCAGTAGATGGATGGGGGGCGTTGTTCCAGGTGCTGGCAAGTCCCAGCCTTGCCCCATGTGCAACCTGGGCCTCAGTGAGGGAGTGACAACCCCACACCTCCTCCCTGTTAACCCTCAGGCAGCAGTTTCTACCCAGGGGCAGGGGCCTGTCTTGACTCCATGTGCTGCTGGACGGGCTGCGCCTCAGGGCTTTGCTGAGGCCTCTCTGCTGCCCTCCCCTCCCCTCCCCTCCGCTGCTGTGGATTTTCTTCACAAGAACCTTCCTTACCACTGGGATGCTGTGAACAGTGCCTCAGCCAGTCTGCAGCCACTGCTTTTGACTTCTGAGACTCTCCCCTGCTAAGGACCTGTCTGTGGCATGGGGCCTTCCTAGCAGCGACCTTTCCCTGCTGGTTATCCCGGGGCAGGTCTGAGCCAGCTGCAGGCTCCGTGTCGGGATTAGCTGGCTCCTCCAGAGCTGTTTGGCTCCTCGCGACGTGCCTGGGCTATAGCGGGACGAGAGGGGCTGGGCTCCCAAAGGATGGCAGGGGGCAGGGCCCATCTGCTGCTTCGGAGATTCCCCTCACTGCCCAGGGTGTTGGCAGGCTGCTCTGGGGGTGAGGAGCTGTGTGGACCCAGGCGAGGGAATATGGGGAAGTTTGTGTGGGTGGGCTGAGCTGCTGTGTCCCTCCAGACAAGAAGCCTTCTGGGTCCCCATCTGGGCTCTCACCGGGGGATCGGGGTCAGCCAGTACACAAACCCCAGGTGCCAGCTTCCTGCTCTCCCCCAGCTCGGCCCTCTCCAGAGAGTCCGGGCAGGAGGAACTATGCCTGCTGTGGGGCCAGCCCCACGTGGAAGCAGCCCAATGTTGCATGGCATGTGGAGATGGTGTCAGGACGGTGTGGGGGTGAATTGTGTACACCCCCTCCTCTCCCTACCACAGCCGTGAGGGCATTGCTTCTTGCTGCGCTGGGGCAGTCTGGCAGGATGGCCACAGTGCCAGGCAGCGGAGGTGCACCCCAGCTGGTCCCTGACCCCATCACTGAGATCTGAACCCAGCTCCAGGCCTCCACCCTGGTGCTGCGCTCCCTCCACCCTGGCTGCCCTCATGGGCACATGGGGCTGTTAGCAGCATCTCTCCAGGGACAGTGAACAGGACCAGCTGCCCACCACCCTCCAGAGCCTGCATCTTCAGCTGCAGTGCCGCCGTCCTGTCCTCTTCTCTCAGCCTCGTTCGCTGGGTCATTTTAATTGTCCTGATCTTAGATTTAAGTTTATGATTATTTTTTACCACAGTTCATTGGGAACAGGGCATCTTTTAATGACCTGTTCCCATTGAATCTCACCGTCCAGCACAGAGGTGCATCTCCTGGGGTTAGCGTAGCTGTCCTGTCCAGCACAGACCTGTACGGGGCTTACTACCGCCAGTCTGTGAGCCACAGGCTCCAGGTATAGATGTCCCTATTTTTGTCGCTGCCTGTGCTGGGTGTATGCCCAGAACCAGCCTTGACCAGCTGGAAAGCCCCCAGCACTGGAGGTCTGGAGCTGGGATGGGGGGAGATGAAATGCGTTCCTACTGCCGCTTGTTTGCTCCTCCCTACAACAGCTCTGCTCTGTACAGGCCTGGAGAGACAGCTCGTGGCTGCGTGCGTCTCATGGGGGTATCTGCACGGCAGCAGGGAGCTCGGGCCTTGGGCATTGAGCAGGGTGATTGTGCACGTGATGGAGGTGGGGGGTTGCTGTGTCGTCTGGAAGTGTTGGGGCAGGGCAAGATCTGTGGGACTGCCCTGGCTGTGCAGCTAGTGCTTTGGGCTGAGGTCCCTGTCCTGCAGGCTCAGCTCCTTGGGCAGTGGTGGCACATCCCTGGGTGGGAAGGCAGGCTGAAAGTAGCTGTGAAGGACAGAGGCTGGTGCATTCTCTTGGGGCAGGGGAAGGCTGGCTGTGTGGCTGCTTTGGCTTGAAAGAGAGGAAATTGAGAAGGGAACCCCCCAATTCCATGGCCATGGGCCAGTTGCTTTGCTCCCTGCATCCGGCAGCATTGTCCCCCTGGAGTGATTGAACTAGAGCTCCAGTGCCCCATCCAGCTGCAGCCTGGCAGGCAGGGGATGCTCTTGCAGGGAGGGCAGACGAGCTGGGTCAATGCTGTGCTTGGGCTGGACACAGCAGGGGGTCATACAGGGCTCTGGGTGCCCTGATGCATCCATATGGGCACGCAGTGACAGCGGGGTGTTTCCTGCACAGGTCCATGGGGTGGAGAGAGGGGCCCAAGTGAGAGTTAAAACACAAGAGGGAAGGCCTTAGAGTAGCACCAATGCCCCCTTGCCAACCAAACAGCTGCGATGCTACCGTCTGGGGTCCTCAGCGCAGCCTGAAACTGCCCCCTCGCATGCGCCTGGCTGGGAACTGACTTCTGCACAAGCTGCTCACGCTCGGCTCTGAACACCCAGCCCCGGGGGCCTCGCAGCAGCCATCAGCAGTTAGGCCCCAGCTCCATTGGCCACCGGTGCCCAGGAGTTGCCTCTGCTCTCATGCTCTAAGCAGAGCTGCTGACAGCCACCCGGGTCTGGCCACCCAGAAGCTCTGGATGGTGATGCTGTCCCACAGACTCTGCCACGCGGTGACTCGCCCTCCCACAGACACCGACAGCTCCTCTGGCAGCAGCCTCGCCTGAGCCGAACCTTGCACTACTGGCCAGCTCGGTTAGGGCCGAGCCCGTGGATGAGCTGTGCCAGCTCAGACGATGTCCCTCCAAAACTTGTTCGAAGCACTTTAATCCTTTGAGGCGCTGCTGGGGTGACTAAGCCTCTCGACGGCCATTTCTAGAAGCACTGATTACCGTCCGACACAGTGAATGGATCTGGGGTGTTTCCCCCTTCCCCTCCCTTGATGATAGGGATTTCTGGAAGAGGGGTTTTTCTGGACACAGTGGAGGGTCTTACAATTATGCACAACACTAATGAAGCTGTTACTGACCCGTTTGCCAAGGTAGGACAGTACTTACTCCTACATGTAACACTGCCTGTTGTGAGTTGGCGCATTGGATTCATGCGCGTAGGGAGAAGGGTGGTGCTGTGCTGTACACTGGGTAGAATTGGATTGCTGCCCACTATGGTACCACATGACCTACCTTTGACCATGCCATCCCTAATAAACTAAGTTAATGAAAAACACGGGTGGCTGGCCTGCTTTGCCTGGTGCAGTGTTGGCGTGAACAGTTACGGCTGGGAGAAAGCAGCCAAGTGTTTTAATTTTACTTCCAAGAAATGGGGAATTGCAGAGCTGAGGTCCTCCACAGCCACAGGCACGTGTCTCTGTGGCATCGGCAACCCGGTGGTAGCTGGGTGGAGAAACCAAAGCAAACCATACGCAATAGTTTTAGTTAAGCAGGACTGGGCTTGTTAGCTGTACAGATGGATGAGTCCCAGAGCAAGCCCCAAGCAACAGGGAAAGGTGTTGCCAATTTAGGGAATAGGCTTAAGCATGACAGCCCCCTTCCATCCCCCCTGGTGCTATATAGCAAAGCACAAGCTGCTTAGTGCTTACAGGGGCATCTTTGGCTTGGCCATTCCCACAGCTGTGACATTGGTGCTAACTCAGCCAACATGTCCCAACCCTGCCTTAGCCAGGGCATGGATGTAATGGGAGCAAATGCCCCGAGTTGGCAGCTGCTGCTGGACGGAACAGAGCCCCGGAGAACAAGGCTGATGGCCAGAGAGGGGATGACCCTGCTCTCCCTCAATGTGAAGGACGATGTTAATGCAGAAGCACTTGGGTGCAAACAGGCCACGAATTCATGTCGCTGGAAGTGGAGAAGACCCTCCGAGTGAGATGAAGCACACTCAGAGGAGGGGGGCGGGGATCATCCAAGGTGGGATCTGCCCAAACCATGCCCTCCAGCCCTGCAGACGCACACATGCGCCGTACGGTTGTGGCCTGTGCTATGCGGCCAGCTTTACCACTAGCTGCCTGGAGCTGCACCCCAACATCACTGCCCACCTGTCCCTTATGGGAGCATTTCTTATGCTGCTGGAGGTGTCCTGGCCTTAGCCTCAGCTCCACCTCCCACCCACTTCCACTCTCAGCAACCCCATTCACTGCTCCACAAACACCTACATGCAAGACCGATGGCAAAGGTTACTGCAGGAGGGCGTGGGAAGCACTGTCCAAATTCATGGACAACATCAAATTATGGGGCAAAGTAAACATGCTGGAGGGCAAGGAATGGATTCAGGTGAATTTGGACAGGTTGGGAATGTGGGCAGAACAGAATAGGAT